CAACCTTGCAATTAGCTTCCTCTCCAAGCGTTGAACCAACTTCTAGTTGATCTACAGCAACCGCTTTAGAGGGATTCTTCTCCATGACTCCTTCCTCCATTTCTGAAATAACAACAGGAAACCTTTCCCTAAGGGAATTATCACTGACAATAGAGGAATCACAGTCTAACTTGGAGTCAAGGGAAAACAAAAAATGCATGTGGGATGGAAAGCATACAATTAAACACAGTACAATCAAGGCATGTAACACACCACACCACATGAGCAAGAAGAAGGTGTAGAGTAAAGAGATGAAAAAGAAGAAATGGATTCATCCTCATCAATAGATTCATCAGTGTAAATATCAGAATAGAAAGAGTCATTTTGCAATTCAACTTCAGAGCATGCATCCTCAACAGCAATGTCTATCATGTTAACCCCCAAAAGTGAATAGTCCTCATAAGGATGTTTCATTGCTTCATACATGTTAAAAGAAACTTTATTATCACCCACCTCCATAGTTATGGTGCCCTCTTTCATGCTAATCATGGTATTAGCAGTCTTTAAGAAAGGTCGACCAAGGATGAGTGTAGTATCATTCACACGTTCAGAAGACAAGTCAAGCACATAAAAATCAGTAGGAAACACCAATCCCTTAACTTGGACTAAAATGTCTTCAATAATGCCTTCAGGATACCTAATAGTCCTATCAGCTAGTTGGAGCACAACAGTGGTAGACTTAAGAGTCTTGACTCCTAGAGATGTGTATACGGACTTAGGCATGACATTAATGGCTGCACCTAGATCTAACAGGGCTCCCCCTATAGTAACCTTTCCTATAGTGCAAGGGATAGTGAAAGATCCAGGGTCTTGACACTTTACAGGAATTTGGGGTTTAAACAAAGCAGACACATTAGAGGGTAATTGGACTCTTTCATTAGGTTTAAATCTCCTCTTTTGAGTACATAATTCTTTTAAGACCTTAGCATACTTAGGAATCTTTTTAATCAGGTCAAGCAATGGTATATTCACTTCTAACTTCCTAAATGTCTCAAGCAACTCATGATCTTGCCTCTCCTTACCCATTTTCACATTTTTCAAATAAGCATTAGGGAAAGGTAGTTCATTAATGTTTACCTCCTTACCTTCCTTGCTTGAGGCTCCATGATTGCTTGGCTCAGGTTCCACAGTTGTCCCCTTGCCATCATGTTCTTTTGAGGCTTCTTTCAGCTTTAGCCTCTTCTCCTTGGAGCTTTCAGACTGATTCTCTTTTGAAGGTGCTTGTGGCAGCTCATCACACAAGATCTCCTCATCTATAACTTCATCCTCCTTTTCTCTGAATTTCATTTGCTTCCCACTCCTAAGGGTAATAGCATTCAAGCCCTTAGGATTGATAACAGTGTTGGAGGGGATTGCGCCACTGCTCCTTACTTGTTGCTCACTCATGTTGTTGGACAACTTGAAGAGAGCCTTTCGTCATTCGCTTTGGGGTTCTCACTCAAAAATAAATCCAAGTTATGCAGTATAATGCAACTCGGGTCGTTTCACGCTTGGGAGTCTTAATTAATTACCTAAGTTAGACTAAATGCCATGTAAAGTAATGAAAAGGGGTTTTTGGGTTTTTAACATTTAATGAAATGTGCCAAAATTGAATGCAATGAAAACAAACCTAAGATACTATGTTTTTGGAGTTTTTAAGATAATAATGATGTAATGGAAGTGATTGATAGGAAATCTCTTGAAAATGGTTTTGTTGGCAATCATAGTTCACTTAAAATACTGGGAGTTTCACAAATCCATTAGATTTTCTTAAATAAAAACCTCAATAACTCATTGAGTCCAATGCTTACATTAATGAACTCATTAATGAAAGCATTGTTAAGTTCCCCTAATGTGTAACTTTGGAATGATCATGCAATAGGCCCAATGTAACACACAATCAACTCAGTATCAAACATAACCATGCAAGACAGGAGAGAATCATGAGAGTTACAAGAAGCATATATGCAACTGCATATATTTAAGCACAAAATTCAACATCAATTAATCCAAATTACAAATGTTAATCATTAACCAATGATTACAGAATTAATCAAAGCATCTAACTAAGACTTTACAACTCCTAAACCCAGGAAATCATAAATGCCTAGCTAAAAACTAAAGATTAAAACTAAAACTCCCCTTTGAAGCTTGGAAACTCATGCTACTCCACCATCTTCAAGAGTTGGAAAGACCTAGCTCATCATAGCCTTGGAATCAGCTCCAACCAGAGTTAAATCTTCAGCCATAATGGTCAGGAGATGAAGGAAATGAAGGTGGATGAAGAAGAAGTGCAGGGAAAATGGAAGGGGAAAAAGATGGAGATGGAGGATTTGGGTTTTGTGGGAAAGATGAGAGAGGATGATGATAGAAACGTAGGTGGTGGCTCCTCAATAGTGTTTCACCTCACCCATTTCCAAAATAGGGTTTCTAACCCGAAAATTGCGTGTATGGGTCAGTTCCTGGGGGTGGGTGGGTCAGAATTTCCCGAAAGTAAGATAATACAAAAGGAAAGTATTGTGCTTGGGATATGAGAAATAAATGTAGCCCAAAACTGCAAGATCTGGCTCCATAAAAAAATTAAAGGAACTAGTCCTATTTATACCCCTCAACATCTCTTATTGGGAAGCGATGCCTAGCTGATAAACAAAGAACTAGCAATAATTGCTTAGAAAAAAAAGAGAGGAAGTTGAAAAGGGTTGTATTAAAAAGAAAAGCTAATTCTACTTATTTTATTGATATTGGTATAATCCATGAATCTTCAAATGATTTTTTTTCTCCTTTTTTGATATAAGCAAACCATTTTGTTGTTGTGCATATTATAATTTAAAATTTTGACATGTATAAATAGAGTTATGATAGAGTGTTTTTACTTAAATATTTGTATGTTCTTATATAAAATAAAAATGATTATTTGTATAAAAAATCAAAATAATAACAATGTAAGATTTATATAAATGACTAAATGAGTTTTGCAGCAATGTGTAATTTGATTTAATACTTTTGTATTATTGCTTAGTATTTGGTATAATATATTTAAAAAGTTAAATAGAGTATTTTGTTAAATTCAGCCCCTCAATTTTTTTCTTTGTATTTAGTATAACATATTTTTTTATATTTTAATATATGTATATTCTGATCCCGTCCAAGAAAACTAATATTCACTGTATTATGTATGTAAAAGAAGGAGGGTTTGTTTTATTTAATTGGATCACTTGATTTTTTGTTATTAGTTTATTTACTATTATTTTTTATAAGATGATATTCAAATATAATTTGAATCGCTAAGTGACTAAAATCTCATTCAAGATAAATATAATTATAAGAAAATAAGAAAAGAAGCTTCGGTCCCCCCCCCCCAAAAGAAAAAGTAAAATAGAATTTTTTTGGCATCCATAAATTGTAATTGGATCGAGTGGAATAAATTCAAGGTCTCTCATGAAAATTGAGATATCTTACATTCAAATATTATGTATGAAAAAATTATGTTAGGATAACTATATTCAAATTCTATTCAAAATTTGATAATACTTAAATATAATTTAATTGTTAGAATTAGATACTTTTTATATAAAAAATAAAAAATAAATTTTTTGTTATTCATTGATTTAGTGTTAAATTGGCTCGCTGGTTTTTAGCTGTCATGTTGGTTTATGATTAATTTGGCTAGTTTTGAACTTTTTTTTTTCCTTGGACCAGATTTGAGAGTCATCAGAGCAGATTCCTAAGCTAATTCATGGAAAACCCACCTCAATCTGATTTCATCATGAATGTTCATGCGACAAAGATTAATTATTACTATTATGGTAATAAAAATAAGTACACAAACTCAATAACTCATATCCATAGTCATTAACTGATTCTATATCTAAATTGAATGAATACTTATTAAAACTATTGAAATCTGTATATTACCTGCTCTTGATTTTCCACATGCCCATTGTTCGCATTTTCTTTATAATATAACGCCAACCATTTTTTTTCTTAACCTTCAATAACGTGACCCTGACTATTTCCCTTTATGATGATTTTAGTATACTCGCGATTTATAAAAAGAGCTTAATACATCAAATCATCGCGTGTGCCAAGGGGCGTCAAAGAGTTATTTAATTGTGTGCCAAAAAAATTGATTTGATATTTACCCCATTCGATTCAAAATGTATCGCTTTCAAGCATCTCACCAGAATTAAGAAAGAGCACAATTAACTTATTAAATCTCTTTTTTAAATTATTTTTTTCAACTTTACTCATGTAGTCATAAATAAATAAATATGGATAAAATTAAAAAATATCATAAATAATTCTTGAGATAACTTATGAGTTAATAATTTCTCCTATTAAGGACAGGAGAGGGAGTATGTCTAAAGCTAACGCAAACAATCTGACTTACTATTTTTATCAAAACAAAAAAAAAGTCATTTTCAACTATTTTAACAAAACCGAGAATTAGAGAAATTGATTCATTGAATATGTTTTAAATTTAAGAAAATTTCACTTTTATTCTTATTAATGGATTTTGAAGGAGAGAAAAATACTACAAGTCACACTTAATAATAAATAGCTATTGATTAGTCTTTTAAGCGAGTTGCATTATGGGGTACAAACCAAAGAATTCTTCTAGAAGGCAGGTGACTGGTCTGCCTAGCGAAGGGAGTACGGTGGAATTAAATGCATTGGACCTGACCCCAGGGGAAAAAAAAGGATAGATAGGATTTGAAATACACCTGAGGAAAGAAACAAAGCATCCAAAACATTAAATAGAGAATCGATAGGGAAATCTGAAATGGTGGAGCTTCTTAAATCTCATTTATAGCTAACTATAAGTGAGGAAGCGTTAGAATCTCAAGTCTTTATGAGCAAATTAAACAAAAATATGCCCCGCCGAACGCTGACGTCAGTGCCCTTGAAGCTATAATCATCTAGGAGTGGTAATACGGGTCAACCCGCGGGTTGGGGGTTGGCCCGTGGCGGGTTCAACCCATATGGGTCGAGTTGAAAAGCATCGTTTGAAGGCGAAACCAATCCTAACCCGCCAAGGTGAGTTGGCGGGTTGGCCTGCCAACTAGAGCTGGGAATGCGGGCTGACGGTGCGGATACGGGCCAGCCCGCAGCGGTGCGGGCCAAAAGCGGTGCGGGCTGAAGTAGCTCGCACTTTGGCGGGCTAGCCCGCCGGCCCGCCTAACTTTTTTTTTTAAAAAAAAAAATTATTACTTGTATAAGTTTGGACTTAGTTTGTAATGTTAAAATTGGATTTGGAGTTTTAAACTTGAGTAATGAGTTATAATAAAATAATGTGAGGATTAATTTATAATTTGAGAAGATATTTTAGAAAAACTAACACATATTTTTTTCTAAATAATTAATTTGACTATTTTTCTTATCCAAATTAATTAAGTAGATCTTTTATGTATGTATTACATATGCAATTACATGGATGAGAAGATGTAAATATGAAATTTGGGGGTTAAAATCCTCCAATTATGTTGTATAACATATTAGAAATTATATAAAAATTAAAATTTAAAAAAAAAAAAAGCGGGCTGAAAACGGTGCGGGCTGGAGTAGCCCGCACCTTGGCGGGCTGGCATTTTGCCAACCCGAGCCCGCCATTTTTGACAGGTTGGCGGGCTGGGCCCGCGGGCCCAGCCCGTATTACCAGCTCTACTGCCAACAATTATTTATTTTTTTTTAATTTTTTAATCTTTTAATATTATTTTTTATTCAATATTTAAAAAAATATAATGATATTTTTATTTTTTCTTGAAATATTTGATTGGAAATATCAAATAAATTATATAGGTATTTTTTTTTATTTTTTTTAGATATAATATCATATATAATAATACAATTATAATAATTTTTAAAAATTTTAAAAAAAAAAATATGCGGGTTAGCCTGCGGGTTGGCGGGCTAACCAGCAGCAGGTTGCAGGCCTGACGATACAGGTTGGCTAACCCGTTATTTTTTGCGGATTGAACCCCGTGGGTTCAACCCATATTACCAACTCTATCCATCTATCATCCATATAAACACATATTGCTTTTCATGAAACTACCAGTGTGGGAGCTGAGACATGGAGAGCAGGGAAGCAGCCCCGATCTATGGGTGCAAAGAGGACATTCTTCACAACATTCTGGACAGACTACCAGCCTCAACCTTCGCAAATGCCGCTTGTGTCAGCAAAACTTGGCATCGAATCTGCTCTCATTTCCTCTCACGTCCCATGCTTGCTTCAGCCCTTTCATTGATCCTTCTCTTCTTGTAAGTTCTTCTGCTACTCCTACTTACCCTTCTGTTCACTTCACCTTATTTACGATCTCCTCTTTTGACATTGATTTGCAGGGGGCTGTTGAAGAGGTCACTGAGAAGGTTCTGAGCAAGCCAATTCGTCCACACTTTGCCATAGCTTGCATCAGTGAACAATTCGGCTTAAGAGCCGCTCACCTTCTTGTATTATACTTCTAATATCTCATTTCTGTTTCGATTTTTGCATAATTTACGGAGTTACTAGTGACTTAACTTTGTGAGCACAGTTGAGTCAAAGGCTGGGAAGCAAGACTCCTTTAGTCACTCACATTGGGAATGGAGTGATGGGAACGGAAGCTCTCACAAATCAACTTCGAGAAGTAATTAAAGCTTTTTTCTATCCTGTGTCATGTTCTTTATTCAGCTTTCTTTTTGACAGATGTCTAATTCAGAGTATATTTTCGGAGAAACTGCAGGTGAAATGGGATTACTTTGATTACCAAGGCCCTCATCCTCGCGAGGCTAATGGATTTAGTGATGTTAATCGAGGCATGGTTTTGGTGGTTGGATATGTTCCTGGTCTCAAAGTGGATGCAATACCGTTGATTCACCCAAAGAATGTAAGTTAGATTCATTGTTTGTTTAGCTCTCATGCAATTTTTATAAATAAACCTGACTATTTAATATGAAAGTGAGTGAGAAATTTGTGACGTATGATCAGGATCCTGGAATCAGCATGGTTGATGAGTTCGTGAGACACATCAAGGCCTTTGCTTACTCTGTCTTTGGAAATCACCCACCTGCTGCTATCATAATATTTGGAGTGAGATCATTTTTTTTTCACCCCATGATTAGCTTCTTTTGGAGTTACTGATTAAAAAAATGACATGAATATATTGCATTTTGCTATTTTTCCTGTTACATAGGATCGTAAAAGTGACATTAACAACATTATGGCAACAATGGGTGAGTCACCTGCATGCTGGGAGGAATCCGGTAATATGATGTATATTCTGATTTTGCTGAACAATGCAAGTATAAATATTACGTGGCAGATCAAGCAATAGGAAAAGAAACAGTGATGGCTGGGGATGGTGGAGGCTGCTTTCTGTTCAACAGTCGGAATTACACAATTAATCTTCCTCCTGATTTATACGCACTCGATGCCGTCGCCCTCGTATTCGCCAAAGACAGTCACAAGTCTCCTGGTAACACTCTGATTCCATTATTTCTATGTAACTCTTTTGAGTTTATCTGTTTTTCACCAATCTGGTTTTTACTTCAACAGACGTAGGAGAGACTAGGTTTCATGTGGCAATGGCAGGGGGTTTAGTGCCATTTGGGCCGAGGTTTGAGGTGATCGATGTACTCGTCAAAGGTGACATCAAATGGACTTGCTTCTCTGCTCTCATGGAAGGATTCAATACGATATTGACTTTTGAGGCCGTCATAGAAACCCTCCTTGAAACAGTATATATATGTTCAAAGACTCATACCAACCCACTCTTCTTTTTCTTCTTCTTATATATGATCTCAAAGTGATCGAAGAGTGTCACATGGTGCAGGTGAGTGACAGGCATCCTGATTTGTACATAGGCGTGTCACATGGAAGAAGGTATTACTCAGGCAATAGAAGACTGATCAAGAAAGTATCAGAATCCACCTTGTTCCATCAAGTGATTGGGTAAGATAATAATGATTCAGAAGGAATTGTGATAAGAGCGAGTGACTGATTTGTTGTAGTTGAATGAAATAGGGGAGATGGAGAGTACTTTGTGGTGGAAGGAGTAGGGGTGAGGGCAGGAGACACGTTTCTGTTCTACCACAGAGATATGGAAACTGCACGAACCACAAGTGAAATTGCATTTGAGAATCTGACAAGGCTGAAGCAGAGTTTCATGGGAAGTGAAGAAACTGTTGTTGGTGGGTTAATATTTGCTTGTGCTTCTCGAGGCCAATCTTACTTTGGAACATCTAATACTGATATCTACCCGTTTTATGCCAACTTCCCAAGTGTTCTGGTCGCCGGAATATTCTGCAAAGGAGAGATTGGACGCTGTTCTTCATCTTCTTCAAGCTTTGTGAAATCCCATGAGTGCGAAGAACAGGCCCCTCCTCATTGCCCTGTTCATGCTTCCAGTGCTGTCTATTTGGCTCTCTCCTATCTTCCTCCTCCGTGAACACATTTAGCTATATTATATTACCAGTGATTCTCCTCTGAATATATCCATGTGGACTTGATTTTGGATAATTCACTCAAATAGGGGCATCCATAAATGGCCAAAGGTGTCTCCACGTCCGTTTTACTTTATTTTCGTCTACTTATTTATTCCAGTTATAAGATTGAGATTTTAACGGTTCAAATTTCATATTTATAAAATTATAAATAAAATATTAAAATTTCAAAAATAAATAAATGAAATCAAATAAAACTACTAAATTTTAGTCAGTATAACTTAAAACAATAATAAAAAATACTTTGTAAAATTATTTTCAAAAGCATAAAATCTGGACCGTGCGTTAAACCTTTAATCATCATAGTTGAGATGGGAAGTGGATGGAAATAAAGAAGAAGAAAAGTGGAGAGACTCTTTACCTATACATAAATGTTAATTATCAACTAATGGCATCCATATATTTACGATATTTTAATCTTGTTCCGCCTTAGTCTTCATCCATTTGTGCCATTTATTTGCATGAAAATAAAAGACAATATAATGTTCATTTTTATTTCTCATAGAGGTAGAAATATCGGATACATACGTATAGCTTTGTCGCAAGTGCTTTTCGCAAATGAATCGTATTGTTTATTATAATATAACTGGTTTATATTATACTACCTTCGGTCTTAATTATAAGAGTCAGTTGACTAATTTAAGGAGATTAAGGAAGTAAGTTGAGTTAGTTATTTGTCATAAATAGGTGTTGTCTTTCCTAAAATATCCTTGCTAATCAAGTATATTAACTAGAACTATCATTGTTAGAAGAGCTACTTTAGAAAAAATATATATAAATATTAGAGACAAAGTAGATTGAGGTCTTATATTTAGGACCAAAATAAAAGTCAAACAGGGTCTTATATTAAGGACCGGAGGTAGTACATATATATATATGTATATGTATGTATGTATAGTTATAATAAGAGCTAGATGAGGCTCGCCCATTCATTATACAAAATCCATGATTAAAGAGGATACTAGCAAAAAAATTAAACCTATAGCTGACAATAGATATATTTATATAATGAAGTATTAACAATAATGCTGTTATAACGAAATAAAATTGGAATAAAAAAAATGCTGTTATAATGAAATAGTATAGTAATCAAACAGATCTTATATGTATAGAGTCTTAGCAATGATTTGTATAATGAATAGGTTTTCATTATAAATGTTGAAGATATATTAACGATAATGCTTATATTTTTGACAGATAAGAATTTAATTCAATTTCAGAATTCCAAATTTTTGCTGCGTCACCACGCACCCAAACTTAGGAACAAGACTTGAATCATGAATAGTTGAATACAAAGGTGTGCACGCAACGACAATAATAAAATGAATGCACCATCATTGAACATTAAAATATTACTATAAGAAAGCATTTCTATACAGTGATACAATACTTTTAGTTATATTATTAAAGGAATTTTTTATTATTAATTCCATAAGAATATCGCCTAGCTAGAAGAAAGGCTCGTCCCCTATGATAAAATCAAAACTCTATCTTTTACTCAAAAAAAAAAAAAAACCCTATCTGCATAACCTGTTCCCCACCAACTTTTCGATCACTATTTGTCGAATGATTTGGCAAGGTTGTGTCATATTAATCTCATATGGATACCAATGAAACATCATTCTTCAAGTATAATCTCAAAACAACAATAATAATAACGAGTAATAGACTTTATTAATTTCAATAAACTCTATTGTAATGATAAATAGCTATTATCTCTTGATTGAAAAAAGAGATAATTACTGTCAGAAAAATATAACTAAAACATAACAAATGCTGTGCTCGCTCTAGTCAAATTTATAAGATCCTAACTATGGGTTCTTAATATAATTTTTTTAAAAAAAAATAACAAAATATTTGTGACTCATTTGAAAAATACTTGTCTTTTTCACTTTTAGCTTAAATAATAACTTTTCTATTTCCCTCTTTCCCGTAATGAACTATACAAATTAAAAGGTGACTTTGGAAATTCGTAAATTTTTTTACAATTAACTAATTCACTAATTTTCTTAATTTCATTATAAAGTAGATGATCAGGCCTTATAAAAAAGGATGGGGGAATATCTTTTAATTTATATTCAATGAAGAAATTAATAACCCTTGAGATTGTTTTAATATCAATACAGCCATATTTATTTTGGAAACTATCATAATTATATAAAATATAAGTTATTTTATGTTGTGTGAGACAAAATTTCATCTCACAGAGTTACATCGTACAACATACAATCACTTAAAATAAATTAATTCAATCATCGTACCCAAGTACAACTTTAAAGGAATTAATTCGACCATATGGGGTGATGAAAATTTTTGTTGGAAAAAGAGAGAATGAAAGCTGTAGCTCGATATTGGCACGGCTCAATCAAATTAAAGGACCCAACTCTTGAGAGATTTGATTTGATTGAGCCGTCCCAACATCGACATGTTCTCCCCAGACCTACAGATTTAATTAGCATGAACAAGGCTAGAGAGAATCACTACCTCGACAGAAGAACTCTACGTTGCTTGATGGCCTTTCTTTCTTTGTGTTGGCCTATCAATGAACCGCAAGGTGAAGAATAATGGAGCTTCAAGTAGGCTCAGTTTGCCAGGGAAGAAAGCAGAGGCAATTTATAGAGGAAAATCTGTCTGGAGAAGGTTACAATGGTTGAGACGTCCAAGTCTATATTTCATTTATTATTGCTTATATTTTCCATCATAACTATTTCCAAGCCCACGCTTAGGCTTCCTTCCCCACCAATTTTCCAATTGTTCTCTTTTCTTAATAATGCTTCCAAGTCAGATAAAGAGAATTAACAATTATTGCTCAGCTCTACTCCACAATGAATCATTATATACATACATATCCCTTCGTCCTTACTTTATAAGCTATCTGATCCGAGATATAAGATCTTAGTTTACTTTGTTTCTTATATTTATTATTATTTTCAAACTAATTTATCTAACTCATAAATATATATAATTTAATATCATGTATGAATATTTTAAAAAGATCATGTTACATTAATTAATTGAATAATTTATCGGAATTCATCAATCTATCTAAATCAACTAAATAGTAGAGGCAGTATTAATGAGTTCTCATCTTCGTGGTCAGACTCACCTTCTTCCAACAACTAAAAAGTTATGGTGGGCAATCCTTTTTAGAAATTAATAACAAAATGCCACTTGAACTGCTTTAAGACCATGATCCTGCTGCCTCATCATATAAAATTTCAGTGCTGCCACTGAAATACCATAAACCTTTTTCTGATACTGAGTGAAATAGAGACATAGAAAAAGTGGCATATGAGTTATATTTTGTTCCAATAAGAGCCAATGATATGCCATTATTCACATTTGTGGAGACACACAAGGCTTCTCAATATGTTGCAATGTCACCAACATGATTTCCCACTGTAGGATTTTGAGCATAGAAAGGGAAACGGACAACTAAGTGCAAAATAATATAATTGTTTGTTTAATATACTATTCGAATTACCATTATTTAACAATATCCTCTCTCTTTTTTATGCCGTCACATTTTCATCTTTTCTTCTCTTTTTAATGTTATGATAAAGGTTTTAGGTACTAAACATAGTGAATATTAAATTGTGTTAGGCAGGCAATTGAAGTTAATATTCATTTATATTTGTGAGTTGGGGGGAGCCTCATGAGTTGGGCCTTGGGCCCGTCGGTACCGACCCACCAAATTGTGGGGCCCACAACATGACTGAAGAATGCCTTGCCCTTTAAGTAATGACTATCATTGACTGCATTGGAAAATTGGCCCACAACATGACTGCCCCTTAAACTTATCATGCCTTGATCTTCACTTCACAACTTAGTTGACAATTATAGTTCATTTTGAGTAATATTATATTATTATTGGAATTTTTTTTTTGATCAAATATTATTGGAAGTTTAGGGACTAGGAAAGTAAATACTAGACAGTTGATTGTTTAAAACATAATATTAAAATTTAACTGTTGTCAAATGATCTCAAGATCATAAAAGAATTATTAATGATAAGCTTTCTTATAAATAAAAGACCATTAATTCAACTGAACGTGTAACTTCAAGCCATTAGGATTCAAATGGCCCAAAAAAAAAAAAAAAGCTTAAGAGATCAGAAGCATACTTAGGACCAATTAATTTTGTGAACAAGCAGAAGTTTAAAGCAGCGCTTCAAGTAGTAGGCGTAATTTGATATATTTCTCTGTAAAGGTGAGTATTCGATTTTTTGTTTTGGTTTTCAGTGATAATTGAATTAATTAAAATGTTTCAGCTCGATTATTCGGTTAACCGCATGTATAAAGATGAAAAGTTAATAAAATTTAAAGTTTTTCTATGTTGATATTAGAAATAACGGGTACATGGAACCAGAAAAGTTTTAGTTGAAGTTGATAACTTGATGTAACATTGACACGTGTAAAAAAAGAGAGCAAATAATATCAAATGAAGCTATCCATCGCCTGTTTTATTTTCTGGGGCCTCGAGAACTGTGAGTGGTTGGAGAATCCTTTTGTATCGTGTTGGATACAAAAGAACGACAAGTCGAAGAGGAAAACGGAGAAAGAGTTTCGTGAAATAAGCAGAGTATGGAAGACGCTTCTCTTAATTGATTGCTTGGGTTATCTGTATAAAGTATGATACTTTTTTGACCTTGTATGAAGTACGATCCTTGGAAGAAAGGAACAAATTTCGGAAAAGCAACAAAAGCTCGCTCACTCTCTTTGGTTATTTGGGATTCATCTTTCTTACAAGCAATTCCTTCTCTCTTACAAGGAATAGAAACACCCAAGCCCAAGCACCATATGAACTCCTCAACTCCCAAATATTAACTAATAAGATCTTATAATTAGGATCGAATATAGTATTTATTTCGAGAGCAATTCTGTTTCTTCAGAAGCAAGCAATAGTGCCATGAAATTATAAGCAAGGAGTCTCTTATGTTCCAAGCTCCCAAATATATAAATTTTTTATTGCTCATTGAATTTTACATAAAATAAATGACATTTTGATATCTTACTATCATAAAATTGTGTAATTTTTTTTTTTTTACAATTTTCTAAAGAACAATATTTTAGAAGTGTGCAGTTTGAATTACCATACACATACATAATGACCTATAGAAGCGTGCAGTTTTAATTAATATTTAAAAAAATAAAAAAATTAAAATTATGTTATTTTATATCTGTAAGATATCAATATTTCATTAATTTTATATAGAATCTGATAATAATAATAATAATAAAAGTACATTTGGGAGCTTGGGATCAGAGGGGTTCAACTGCAATTTGCAGTAGATCCTTTTCTAAGCTAACTGGGCTTAGTGTTTCATGGTTTCATGTTCACCAGGATGATGCTTTTAACTGGCCCAGTCTCTGTAGAAAAGTCCAAGTTAGAATCGGTCTTCCCTCCAACTTGGGCTACTGCTATGTTCTGTTTATGTCCTTACACCTTTTTCTTACTCAGCCATTCTATCCAGACAAAGTGTATTGCCGGTTTTAAACAGTCTTTGGGCTTTTGCTGTGCTTATGAAGCTGAGAATTGAGCTATCTTTAAGGGTTTTAACCAAGCGGGGGATCTCGGCTTTAGGAAAGTCATTCTCGAGTCGGATGCAAAGAATTCAATTGACATGATGATACAGGTATCTGGTGACAAAAGATGCAGCCTACCATTTACGCAGATCAAAAGGTTTATGCAGCATTCTTTGGGGCTACAGGCATGTTACATTTCAAGAGAAAGAAACAAAAGTGGCGTGCCAATTTGTAAAGGAAGGGATTGCTAACCCCTCCTTGTTAAATGTGTGTCCTTCCGATTAGGAGTAAAAACAGGTCAGGTCAAGTTTTGTCTTTAATAGGTTAGACTTGTTTAATATTATGCTGGTTTGAGCCTGACTTGTGGCCTGTAATAGGCTTTTTGTTCCAGTCTGGGCCTAGCTTATTAAGCCAAACAGGTCATCAAAAAGGCTTGAGTTTTTTTCTATTTTAAAACAGGCTAGGCCATAAGCCTCTGACAAGCCATCTGACCTATTTCCACCCTTACTTCCAATATGAGAATCTGAGTGGAAAACGATGTACTCCCCATAACTCGTCTATTTTTTTTGCTAGGGTCTAAAGCCTTCTTTTATATATAAATATATATATCGTACAAGAACAATCCAATGGGAGATAAAACAAATAGCAAAATAAGGTGACAACCACAAAAATTCCGTCGCTGTCTGCATATTATATTCATGCAGTGATGGGCCAACCTCATATAGTAATATACTATATTATCTCTGAAAGCACAAAAAACTATTATGTAAATAAGACACTCCTTTGATTTTTAATATAAGATCTTTTTAACTAATTTGATTATATTAAAGAAATTATATAAGTTAGTTAATTATAAGAAATATGACATGTTTTTTTTTAAAACATTATAATCATCTTCCTTAATATCGTTCTTCCCTCACTTACTTGAGTATAGTTAAAGGATTATCTATAGGAGTAATTTAGAAAAAATTAATAAATATGGAAAATGTGTTTTATATTTAGGACCGAAATTAACTTATCAATTATATCTTATATTAAGAAGGAGTATGTTTATAACCAAACGAATTAAGCAATACATAAAATTCTAAAGAAAAATTCTCATTACATAATAATAAATCAAGTAAACCCAGTGCAACGCACTAGTTATAATTTAAGCAGAGATTTAAAGCAGAAAAAAGAAGGCTATAAAATCCAGGACTCACGTGCATTTGTGGTACGCAGGGTTTGAAGCCCGAATTGTGAGATTGGGGGATCCCTTCGCGCGGTTCTTAGCTCGCTGCAAATTTCAGCCATCCATTCGTTGTTTGGATTTTTGGGATGGATTACACCATCACCTTTGTCCTTTGCCCATACATCCACGATGACAAGTTGTTTTAGGACTCGTTTAAAATAGTTTATAAATAATTTTTTAATAATAATTTATAAATATGTTAAAAGAGTTTTATCTTATATTATGTAAAACATATTTAACTATTCCAAACGAGGTTTTAGTAACATTGTTTCCTGTTACGCCTAAATGAAATTTTAGGCTGGAGTTTAATGCTATTGCGTTTGTGTGTCCAGTACTCCAGTGAGTTTAAAAATGTATAAAATAAAAAAGGACCACATTAGGCATTGAGGCTCCCATTTTTTCCGAGTACTGACAACTCTAATTCAATTAAAACTATGTAACTCATAAATTTATAAGTTCATTCCTATTTTAATTTCAAATACGGTTTAAAATGTTGATATCCGTGATGACAACAATTTTAATAACATGTTTGAATTAATTCCTTTCTCCTTTAGGTCTCCATTTTTTGCACGGGCGTATCTTTTTTTTTTTTTTAGCTCCACAGTCCATCACTTTTGACCCATTTCATTTTCAAAAAAGTCATTTGAATAGTTTAAATTACTTGAAAATTGTTTAGACTGTAACTAAGTGTTAACCAAGCCTAAGATCTTAAATATCAGACTTACTTTATAATGTAATAAATTTTATATTTGTGGGTGCTCTCAAGCCTCACATCAAATGGGTGTGTGAGTGTGTTAGTGTGTATAATAGGACATTCGGACTGTTTGGGTACCAACTGCGTTAGGTGATTTTTTTTTAGTTTTTGGTCGAAAAAATAAATTTTATATTTAGAATTAAAAAAGTATAACATATACAAAGATTACAAAGAATCCGCAGCATGTGAGCCGGGGAAAACGTAATCCGAGCATGAAATCTTGAGACAGATGGTTTTTTTTTTTTTTGACCAGAAGAGACAGATGGTTAATTAGTAGCAATCTAAACCTCTTTAATAACCATTATGGGTTTGGACCTTGGACTTTCGGAGTTACTTTTCTTCTTCAGACAGGGAACTGCTGACGTGGATTGCTCCCATTTACTCGGATTGATTTTCTCGGCTCTCAATTCCCATTTTGCAGGGCTCCTTTCTTTCTTCTCCACATTCTCGCTTCCCTCCCTGTTCCCGCTCGGTCCCCGCCGGTGTGCTTCCCCGGGAATCTTTCGCCGACGAGGTTCCCGAGGGCCATTGTTCCAATTTCCAGATTCACCCCAATCCGTTAACTCCCTCGTCCTCTCTATTTCCGATTGACGTCCCCCGCTATCGAGCTCGAAATCTTCATCGGCGGTTTTTGAATTTATTTCTCTCGGGAGTCAACTGTTTCTCTGTTGTTTTGTTCTTTCTTCCCCCCCTTCTTTCGATACAGAAGCTGGGGGTTATAGTTCTCGGTGAGTTTCTTTCTCCTGTGTTATCTCGGATTTTTATTTTGGAATATGGCTCCCTTTGGATTCGATGGAAGCATTCCATAATCGATAAACGACTTTCGACACGGGGAATAATTTTTTTCGTCTCTTCTGGGAAAAGAAATTCATTTTTTTTTGGCCCTTTGCAATACTTTTTCTTCATCTAATTTGAAATTTGATTGTGTATTTTGATGGTGCTATGGTTGCAGGAATTGGACCGGTTGCTTTCGCAGATGGCTAGTCAAAGCAGTTCTTCTCGAAGGAGTCTGTCGTCGGTGCCGGGGAGGAGAAAATCCTTTCAGAATGGAGCCTCTGAGTCTAAGCCCCGGAAATCTCTATCCTCTTCGCGCCCGCCGTATGTTCTTGGGTTGCTATGTTATTTTGAGTTCCCTAACATTTTTGCTAAAAAAGTGAATTGCGGTTCCCTAATTTATGCTTGTGGTTGAGTGGCGATATGGTCCCCGACTTGTTGTTCAATCTTCTCTGCTTTCTTTATAGTTGATTCTGTTAACCTCCCTGCCTTATCTCTTGTTTGATGAGTTACGCATCGGAGAATCAAGATTTTTCATCGTCAATATGGTCTGAATAATGCTTTGAAATTATAGAGAAATTTTAGAATGAAATTTTTCTTCGAGATATATTCGTCTGAAATATGACATTCTCCGTGGTCTTGATCGTTTGACTTTTTAAGTTTTCGCCCGTGGCTTTGCGCTTACTAGAGATAGATATTCAGGTTGGCAGGTGCCATAATTGCGTTGCCAATATCAGTCTCCAAGATGTCAGTGTTCAACAAAATTATGAATTGGACTTTATATGCGTTTTCTCATTAACTGGTTTGACTTTATTAGTTCAAATCACTTCATAACATTCCTCTGGGTTGGACTTTGATTATCAGATTAACAGGAGAGCGGACAGTGAAATCATTACGACTATCAAAGGCTTTAACCGTACCTGACACAACTACTGTGTCTGAAGCTTGCCGTCGGATGGCTGCTCGCCGAGTTGATGCCCTGTTGTTAACTGATTCTAATGCTTTGCTTTGTGGAATACTTACAGACAAGGTATGAGTCATATTTATCTTTGTTTCACTTTGAAGGAAGCACATAAAACATTTGGATTTTGCACCTGGTATTGTACTCCAACAGATATTAGTTTCTATCTTATTTTGTGGTTAAAGGATGTAGCAACAAGAGTTATTGCTGGTGAGCTTAATCTTGAAGAGACACCTGTTTCAAAGGTTATGACAAGAAATCCAATATTCGTCCTTTCTGATACTCTTGCTGTGGAAGCCCTCCAAAAGATGGTGCAAGGTTGGTATTGTGCAGGGAGGCACACCGCATGCATACCTTTTCATGATTGTTGCTATTTGAAATCTCACCGTTTGAATACAGAGCTGATAGCTGATCTTGTTTGCAGGGAAATTCAGACATTTACCGGTGGTGGATAATGGAGAAGTTGTTGCCTTGCTTGACATAGCAAAGTGCTTATATGATGCTATTGCGCGCATGGAAAGGGCGGCTGAAAAAGGAAATGCCATTGCTGCTGCTGTTGAAGGTGTTGAAAAACATTGGGGGACATCTTCTTCTGGTTTGTTCAACATTCCTTTTTTTACTCTGTGGTTTCTGATCAGGGCGTTATTGGATAAATCTTTATTGTACTTAGTTTCTGACTTCTCAGTTTCTGAGTTTATTTTGGTCACTGTGTAGGCCCTAACACATTCATTGAGACTCTTAGGGAGCGGATGTTCAAGCCCTCTTTGTCTACAATCATTTCTGAGAATTCAAAGTAGGTAATACTTTCTCTCTCTCTGTTTTTTTTTTTATTGAAGAAGAATTACCTTATTTGCATGTCTGCATGTTTGCAACTACTGTGCTGGTTCCATTTAACAAGCTCGTGAATTTTTCAGGATTGTAACAGTTTCACCAACAGAATCAGTTTTGACAACAACAAAGAAGATGCTTGAACTTCGTGCAAGCTGTGCAATTGTGACACTTGAAGGAAAATCTCATGGCATTCTTACGTAATTTTTAGGCCCTTAAAATTGCCACCCCTCCTCTTATTTAAGATAGGCTATATTTTGACCTTTTTTTTTTTTTAACACTGCTGTAATTTCGGAACAATATTCTTTTGTGTTCGTTTATATATTTGTTAAATAAACCTATGCTATTTCAGTTCAAAGGATATCTTGATGCGGGTAATTGCACAAAATCTTCAACCAGAGTCAACTCTTGTTGAGAAGGTAGTTCTTCCTTTCATTTCCGCTCTAACCATTGTTAGATTTTGCCATATGTGTTAATACGATAATATGTACAACCACATCACTCTTCTCATGTACTTGAAGAAAGGAGCGGTGATTCTGAAGTTAATCGTTCTCATTTTTCTGTCTTTTAATATAATTCAATATACTTTGCAGGTCATGACTCCCAACCCACAATGTGCAACCATTGATACTCCAATTGTTGATGCACTTCACACTATGCATGATGGAAAATTTTTACATCTTCCTGTGGTTGATAGAGGTAGCATTCTATGCTCAGGATGGTTTTTCTTTGGCTGAAATGTTGAAGACGTTTGTACATGAGTATTTCATATTTGGCTTGTTGAAACAGATGGCAATGTAGTTTCTGTAGTTGATGTGATTCATGTTACTCATGCTGCTGTGGCAACAGCAAGTCAGGTGTGTTACCTTATACTGTGACGTCAGTGATATCTTTTTAGTCTCTTCGGAATACAAGTTGCTTGAATTTAGATTAGTTAGGCATGAAGCTTGTTTTTATGAGATGTATGCACTAATTTTTAGGTGATTTTGGATGTTTTGTTCTTTCAATTTAAGGTCTATATATGTACTAATACGTTTTTGCTGCATCATTTTGTTTGCCAGACGAATTGATCAGTGTATATATATTCCATTCATCTTAATCTGAACACACGCAAATGTTAATCTTTATAAAGACTTTCTTTTTTCCTAAATTTCAAATGCATGTTCATTCTAGTCTTTGCTGTCATCGGCTTATCATTTGTTTTTTGGTGACCATTAAATAATCACTATAATAACATGTGATAACTTTTTCCTGAATAGCTTTTGTGATGTACTGTAGAAACTTCAACTTTTTCCCCAAAAGTTCAGTATGTCATTGTTTTGTTGATCAAGTTTCCCTTTATGCCACCAGAATTTTTTTTGTTTGTTTTATATTTCTGTAATATTAGGATACGACACTACTTTTTGTTTTACTTCTTAAGCAGGTTGGAAATAGTGGCAGCTTTAACACTGAAGCTGCAAGCACCCTGATGCAAAAATTTTGGGATTCAGCCATGGCGTTAACTCCAAACGATGATGATGATGACACCAGAAGGTTATATACACATTGTTGGTGCTAGATTCCAATTTTTTAATGCACTTGTTAGTTAATACTCAAATTTTATCAATAATGTGCCAGTGACGGTTCCTTGAAATTGGCTTCTGATGGAGGAGATACTGCAAAGTCTCTTCCTTATCTTTCGTCAAGCATGACAAATACGTTTTCCTTCAAAATACAAGATAAGAAGGGACGGATGCATCGATTCACATGTGGTATGCAATATCGTGTTGCAGATTAGAGCTTTGAATTTAAGTGCAGTCTTCCTGTTATCTTTGACAGCATTCGGAAGGTGGTTTCAGCCTTTTGTTTATTTGTTCCCTGTGGTTCTTTCATGAGTCTCACTCTTGAATCTGGCTTAATCTTATTTCCCTGTCAAATTGATGTGTAAATCTATATTTATTGTCATGTTCAAAGATCTGACTTTGACAGTACTGTTGTTGTAAACTAGATCCTCTTTTGATTTTGTACAAATAATCATTGTTTGATTAACTTTACATGGTTGCTTGCAAGTTCAGATACTCGGAATTTGACAGAGGTTATAACTGCTATCATTCAGAGAGTCGGTAATGAAATTGACCCGAACAACCTGCCCCAAATTCTGGTATCTTTTGACCTTTCAAGATATAGTATTCCTCTAGTCTTTAATATAAGACCTATTTAACTAAGTTAATTAGATTAAGGAAGTTAGGTAAATTAGTTAATTATAAGAAATATGACATGTTTTTCCTAAAATATCATAATTATCTTCCGTAATATCCTCTCTCTCTCTTCTACTTGATTATGATTGAGGGAGTATCTATAGGGGTAATTTAAGAAAAATTGATAAATATGACAAATATGTCTTATATTTAGGATTACAATCAACTAAATAATTAGGTCATATATTAAGGATCGGAGGAGTATTTACTATTGCATGGTTAGGCCAATATCTTCTTTTTCCCCTGATGCTAGCCGGTTAAATTTTTGCTTGTAGTATGAAGATGAAGATCATGACAAAGTTATATTGGCTTCAGATAGTGATCTTGCTGCAGCTGTTGACCATGCAAGGTCGACAGGCATGAAGGTATGGCTGGATCTGATTTCTGTCCAAATCTTGTATGGTTTGATGTTCTGAAGGATGCTTTGCTTTTTGACTGAACC